ATTCTATGATTTTGGGGTTTCCTTGTAGTCTTTCGGGTAGAACCCTGCTTGCGTTTGGTTGCCAGACCCGCTTCTGGCAGGGGAAGACCTGTGTGCTGTTGAAGTTAAGTGGTTGGTTTTGCAGGAGCCTCCTCTGGAGTAGAGCTCTGGCCTCCTTCGTGCCAGGTTTCCCATCTGCCGCGCGCGTCTTCGCACCACAGACGTGCGAGCTGCTGAGATGATGGGTAACGCGCTGTCAAGTTGCTGTTTAAAAAAGATCATTAAAAGCGAGCCAGGCTTCTAAATTTGTGTTTGGTAATTCTCAGATGCTGTAAACAAACCGTGACGTTTTTGTTTCTCACATCTTGCAGAATAGGAGGTGCATAAAAATAAAAGGGAACCCTTAACAGCCACACAAGGAAAACAGTGAAACAGATTGAGGATAGTGCTGTCAATTTACAATCAACAGAGGTAATAGTTACTGTCATTTGCTGTAAGTTTGAACTTGCAGCAAAAGCATGCAGGATGCCTCAGAATTAAGTGACCTTAGTTGCTGTTTGATTTATTGATTTGAATAAATTATGCTCCACATATAGAATCATAGAATCACTAGGTTGGAAAAGACCTTAGAGATCATCCAGTCCAACCGTATCTGTCCGCCACTAAACCATCTCTCTCATATGCAAGAGAGATAATCACCATATTACAATGGTAATTGTAATCATAATTACATAATTACATCACCATATGCAAGCTGTTGTGATTCTGTAATCACAAGTGATCAGCCACGACTGTGTAAATGTAGGAAGGTCTTTGGGTTTGCTTTTTTTTTTTTTTTTACCCTCCTGTACTGGATTACAAGCGTAATTACTCATAGTGTCATCATCGTGGTATAACTATGGTGTATGCTGTTGGCACCTCATAAGTGATTAAAAGTGCTGTTTGTAAGTTTCTGGAGGTGTTTAGGAAAAGACACTGTGTGAAGTATCTTGAAGGGTATTTCAGCTTTTACCGGCTATAAGGTGAAAGATAAGCTTTGAGTATGTGTTACGTTGATTGAGACACCGATACAAACTTCTCATTTTCTTTCAGGTACCTCATTTATACCTTGCAGAGGCGATGGAGGCAGTGATGCAATCTGTCGCGTAATTAAAACACACACAAAAAAAGTATTCTTAGCTGTACCATACTCTTTCAGTATCATTCAATGCCTAACATTTCAGAAGATGAAAAGGAGAATGGTTCTGGAAATAATGGAAACACTGAAAACAAACCTGGGAAAGAATCCCCGGAAGCTTCTCTTCATGATCCTGTGAAGCCATACTGTATGTCAGACGCCTCCACTGCATCCTTGGTGTCTAGGGGAGATTATCCATGGGGATGTCCTGTGACTCATACACGAGAGAAATTTTATACCATCTGCTCAGACTATGCTTTTTTAAACAGAGTGACATCTATTTGTAAAAGCCCAAGTGCTTCAGTTAGTGCCTGTCTGACAGGCAGTGCTGCCTTAAACGTTGGAAATAACACACCTGGCTTACTTGGCATTCAAACTGATGCTTCGGAGATAATCTACAGTGAAGATGCTAACTTGGAAAGCTTGGCTGGCGATCTCGGGAAGCTCCCCCTGGCATGGGAAATAGACAAATCGGAGTTCAATGGCGTGACCACAAATCTGAAGAACAAAGCAGGTGAGAGGGTGAAGATTCGATGGTGTTATAGGAAAAGGCTTCGTGTTTATAACTTGTTTGTGGAGGTGCTGGTCAGCACAGGTGTCTCTTGAGGAGGTGCTGTAGAAATGCCTGTATGTCATTTCAAACGACCTGCTCGTTGGGAAAGGAGAGAGTGAGGTAGGAGGAGTGAAAGTCAAGTGTAGCTGCCGCTACCGCAAGGCAGGCTTCTACTTCACAGCGCATGGTTTTTTTGGGAGTATTGTTTGGGGTGTCTTATCGTTTGGGCTTGTTGGTGAGGTTTTTTACCCCCTTGGATTTTTGGGGGGTGTTTTTCCTTTATTTTTTAGTAGGACCTAGTGCATTGTGCAGTGGTTACTTTTACCTGTTAAGTACAGTTTTGTCACTTGCAGAGAAGTTTCAAGGTACTTCAGAGATGTGTTTCAAAATGAAAGACGTGGTTCGTTTATGGCAAGAAATAAATGAAATCATTACAGTTGTCTAGGAAAGCAGTTGGTTTCTGTAACAGAATTGTATATATTTTGTTTTGCTGTATGTATACAGTGTCAGGGAGCCCAGTTCTTTAAAACTGCCTTCTTGGCTGCCTTCTATGCTTTTTTCTCTGCATAATCAGGGTTTGCAAATGTGAATCAAGAACTTGCATACACACTTGGTTTTCTTTGTCCTGTAATCCTCTTGGCTTATCTAGAGCAGGCTGTAGATTTTTCTTATCTTAATGCGTTGGCTAGCTAGTCAGATTGCTGTTTTTGTTATTGGCCTGAAACCGGTTGAGCAAAACTTAAATATGTTTAGCAAATTGCTGTGGCCTTTTCATGTGCCTATGTAGTGTCTTTAAAAATAAGAAGTGATAATATCTTATAGGATGGTAAGTTTTGTCTAAAATACATGTGGTATGTTTCATTTGGATATGATGGCTTCAAAATGGGACAGGCATATTCCTGCTCTAGCACATGGCCCAACATTTTTCACTGCCTCAGTGGCTGACAAAAAGGAAAAGGCCATGGGGATATATTATACTCACTGTATTTGCATGTAAATCAGATAGTGTAGCTGGTTACAGACCTTGGCTGTGGAAAACAAGTGTTTCATTATGTTCTCCTCTGTTTTTAAAGTTAGGAGATGGGAAGTCCATGTCGGTCTGAGAGTGTATTTCTGGGATGGCTGATTTAACGCATTAGAATAATCAGATTTCTCTCTGAACAGTCAGGCAGGTCATCACTAATTCTGTTCAGAAAAACACGATGTTGTTTGCGGAACTAATGGCAGCTTTACAAACCTGTTGATGATCTTGATTGTGTATTTGAGCTTCTTCGTTCAATTAATGTTTAGTGCCAGTTTGCACTTACCAGTACAACCAGCCTCTCTACTTGAGTTGCATGCCACTGCTAAAAATATTTAAGAAGAAACGTATAAAAGGTAAACTAGGCATTCATTTGTTTCCGAAATATCTTTTGCAGGCAACATGAAGAAACAAGCGACAAAGAAAAAATCCCTAGACAAAAAGAGCAAACAATACAGGGAGTGTCCTCAGCGTTCTGCTCTTGAAGACGTGAAGGAGAGGAAAGTGTTGGACCTCCGGAGATGGTAGTATTTATGAACTGTATTTAAGATTATCCTCGTACAGTTTGTTGGTAAACACTGTTGCTGGTTATCTTATTTCAAACTTCTTAATAATGTCTTAATGCCTTTTTTTTTTTTTAGCAGAAATGGGGTTACGTTGAGCATGTGTACACTAAATCTCATACTTTCAACAAGAAGGAAAGAATGAGAGCTTCCCTTCAATCTGTTGAAATTCTAAAACCAACTTTCTTTCTAAACAATTTCTTTCTTTCAATAAGAAAACAATTTACATGGGGATTCATTGCTGAAGAAATGCAAGTTCATTAGTGTGGTCAGGCAAAAAGTAACCTTGAATGCGGTACTGTTATCTTACTCCTGATTTTTCTTTTAGCTGGGAAATACTCAATCATAATCTGTCCGTTATGTACAACCTATGAACTATGTATATAGTTCACTAAGTTAACTTAGTTTAATTAATTCATCCGCTTCTTAGTGTGCATATCTGTGACATCAGGAGTTAGCCTAGGGAATCTCCAACCCAGAATGACGTTCATTAGTAGATTGGTAGAGATGCAGTTTACTGCAAGTCCACGTGTTAAAAAAGGTTGAATCAAAATGTACATTATATTAGTACAGAACCATTTTTTCCCTATAGGATCATTTGTACAGAACTCCCAAGGGGCTGTTAGAAATTTGACCGATTTGTATGAAACAGGGTAGTCGTATCTGACAAACTGAAAGAAATAGGTTAACATATTTGCTTTGGGGATTTTTTTCCCCAAAAGCATGCACTCTTACTGTTGGTGTGGGTTTTCTTTTTGTTTGTTTGTGGGTTTTTTTTGGTTTTATATGGTAAAAACGTTTAACATAACATGGCACTTCAGTCTCATAGCACACAGAAAAGTAGTTCAGGTTGCTCTTGTAACTAAATCAAGAATGCTTACTAATGTGTTTGTTTTGTAGGTATTGTATTAGCCGACCTCAATACAAGACTTCCTGTGGAATTTCATCCTTGGTGTCATGCTGGAATTTCTTATATAGTACACTGGGAGCTGGAAGGTAAATTGCACATAGACCGCTTTGCTTCTAGGGAGCCTAAAATAAGTCACTAATTAATTTATTAAATAATACCTTTTATCTTTTTTTCAGTTTACCACCTATTACTCAAGAAGAAGCTTTACATATACTGGGCTTTCAGCCCCCGTTTGAGGAGATTAGGTTTGGTCCCTTCACTGGAAATACAACTTTGATGAGGTATGTTTGGTTCTTTTGATGCAGCTGAATTGTTAATATATACAAAAATAACATGATAAAACTCAGAGATAGAAGCTTTAAAAATACAGTAGTTGTTCAGTTGTTAGTCCTCTTAAGTTTGAGAATAACAGGGCATATCTGGGTACTGTGACAGTGCCCAAAGATACTTGTCAAGGAGGTTTTTGCGCTAGCCATTTTGTATAGTGCGATGTTCCTACACAAATCATGAGAACGTGAAATTGTGTTCGATTTTTGGTCCAGTTTGTTTAATGGTTCTGCAGTACTCTAATGAATCTGACCTGGCTAAGAAAATTTTTCTTTACTCTCGTTTTCCTGTTTTTGAAAATGCATGTTAAGTGCTTGTTTAATGTCACTGAAACAACCTCAAAAAGCAATTGAATTGATATATTAGTAGCTTTATGTAAAAAAATAACTTAAGAAGTAAAAGGAGGTAGTGAGTCCTGCACCTTTGCTGCAGTGGAGTTGTTCAGAAGGGGGCAAAAGAAAAAAAAATGAGGCTGGAGTCACAGAAGACTTGGACCTTCAAATTCTCCTTTCCCTCTGCTCTGCTGTTTCCTGGTCTTGAGGAGCTAGCTGGCTCCAAAATCCTTGTCCTTTTTTTGTTTTATTAAATTCATAAGGAATTTTAGATTTCAACAGGGCCAGGAGCATGTTGTATTTGAGCATTGACCATCTTGACAGGGCTTTGGTGTGTTACCCGTCTGTGAGATCCAAAACTTTTGCAGTGTTACTGCCTGTTTCATAAGCGGCATTTGATCTAGTTAGTATTTTTTTGAAGGCAGTATATACGGCTTGGCACAGAATGGGCGTGCTGGATTTGAAAATGGGGCAGCAGTCTGTTCTTTAATGGTAATGTAGAGGCTGGATCATTGGAGGGTGTCAAGAAAACTTCCTCCTCTGCCTCAGGAGATGCGTATCCAGCCTTTGTATCTCTTTAGGAGTATGTCAGGGTATAGCAGCCCTTATAGACGAAGCTGATAAAATATTCTGTCTCTTTATGTCAGCAGTCTGTACAGATGAAAGCTAAACTTTGGTTTAGAATAACAAAGTAATTCTTCTTTCTTTTCCCCTGTGGGTGACCTATGAGCTGCAGAAAAGTTACCCTGGTTTTTTAAGTTTTTTTTCTGCCTGATCAAATAATTTTTAAATACTGGGCAGACTGGGTAACAAGAGGGCTGAGATCCAACTGCATCACCCAACATAGCTTTATGATTGAGGTATTATCTTCAGAGATAGGAATTTGAGTCTTCTAATGTGGAAAAGTGAAGTGAATGTACGAGACAAAATTGTCTTTGGAGACCTGTCCTCACTGCTGCTGCTCCAAGGGTTGCAGTGTGCGACTCCTGTAATGCATGGGTGTTGTTACATTTATGTGACAGAAGCCCAAAACAATATGCAGAAAGTCTTAATTGAAGGCTCCTGCCTTCTGGTGTCCTAAGAGATTCCCTTTGTGTAGCTTACAAATCATGGTTGAAGCTTGGCATGTCAGAATTTGAAAGAATTTGTCTTTCTAAAGGCTGAGTAACTGAAAGTTAGAGGTGACTGGACTGAACACACTACAACTAACATTTCAGATCCAGCCTGTGGTTATTACGGATCTATGTCGGGTCTGAGAGAGCAAAATGAAAGAAGAGGCTTTGAGTATTTCTCTAGGATATGTTAAACTTTGTTTGCACTGTGGTACCATGGTCAGCTACCATCTATATACTAGTGTGGTAGGTAGTAGCACAGCCAGGCCTTTTTCTAAAACTGTCAAGCAGAGGAAGAGTGGGAGAAAAGACAATTGCATTTAATAACTCTTGAGTTACTACAATCTTTAAGCTTATTGTTTCAGGTGGTTTAGGCAAATAAATGATCACTTCCATATCAAGGGATGCTCGTATGTTCTGTATAAACCTCATGGGAAGAACAAGACCGCTGGAGAGACTGGTATGTAGCTAATCCTAAAGCGCTCATCTTACAGTGTATAAACTGAAAAATCCTGCAGTTTGTAGCATTTGACAGGACAAATTCTGTAAGTAGTACTTCCAGTTTGAGATAAGCTGTGAAATAGCTCCAAGGTGCCTGATTTTTCTGGGTTTACTTTTTCTCCAATTTTGCTAAAATTTTCATTTTTACTTCTCTAAAGTATATCCTGTGCTACATGTTCTGCTGCCACCTGGAGGTTGTTTGCTGTAATACACTGGGGGAGCAGCACGTTTTTATTTCAGAGTTTTGGAAATCTGTGTTGTATAAAGACTTAGAAGGTACACTACAGAAGTATTAATGCCTTTAATAAATGTTTCGTATTTTTAAAAATGCAGTTTTAAAGTTAGTGAACTCACCTGTTTGGCCTGACTTTAGCTAACATTCGTCCCTAAAAGTTAGGTGATTATTCTCAGTTAGCCTGTGAAGCTGCATTTTTATGCTTACTTTTAAGCGTGATACTTAAAGAAAAATGGTACTTTCATTTGAAGTTTATTAGCCTTTTCCACAGTCTGGGTAATTATCTGGAAGGTTCTTGAAAAAGGAGAAAACCATGCTGAAAAGTTTTGATGGAGATTATTAAAGTGGGAATCCACTTTGGGTTCACGGTATCATTTGAGAATTCTTTCACGTTTCAGTGCCTTTTCTAGTCTTTTCCTGAAACTGTGCACTGCAGTCGCAATACAAAATCCTGTATGCCCAAGCGTGGGAGGTCTTCCTGATGCTGGGAAGCTCGCGAGAAGCTCATGATACTGAAGTGTTTGAAAACTTTCAGGACTTTCAGCAGCATCATTGATAGGGGCGACATCAGACCTGGGGCAGCGGGACTGTGTTTTGTGGCAGTGTGCGTTTCCTAGGTTGAGAGATACTATTAGTTTTTTTTGCAGAACAAGTGATTTTAATATGATTTTGATCTAAATACAATGCATGCTTTGTATTGCTTTTCCCTAGTACAGACTGTGTGGCAGATGTTATGTTTGCGGTTTTTTTGTACCAGTCAGGAAATTAAGAAGTTTGAAATCAAAACTGTATGTTGTGCATGCCTGTCAGGCCATGCCCTCTCATTTAAACAGCAGTGTAACTGTTTTATGTTATCAAATAGGTCTTGGCGAATTTGTTATGCAGGACCCAAAGCACTCTGGGCTGTAACCTGATCTTTCTTTGTAGCTGCAGGGGCCCTGGCAAAGCTAACACGTGGACTGAAAGATGAATCAATGGCTTACATCTACCATTGCCAAAACCACTATTTTTGCCCAATTGGCTTTGAAGCAACCCCAGTAAAAGCTAGTAAGGCATATAGGTAAGATACTGTGTTTATGCTAATTTTAGTGGAGGAAATGTGCAGAAAAAATTACTTCAAGTTGATACCATTTTTCTCCCTAAAAACATGAGCATAAGAAGACAATCCCTAACAAAATTGGCAGGTACCGATAGTGGGGAGCGCTAAACCACGAAAAGAGTAGGTCACTGGTGTAAGGTGAGCCTCAGTCTTGCATTTTGCTTACCAAGCACTACCGTTGGCTGTCTTGAAGATGCAGAGTCATATCAAGGAATGGAGAATTCTAGCTCTACTTTTGGAGTTCAAGATGGTAATTGTGTGGAGGTAGTAAAGCGTAATCATCTAATCTTAATTGTTCCCAGCGTGAGACTGTGACCATGGGGGTAGTGAAAGCTGTTACTGTACGAACAAAAGAATGCAGAAGCTTTTTGTTAAGACTGCATTCACTGACATGCCACATGAGTGAGAAGGGTTTGCAAATTGTGCCCAAACAGAAGTCCAACACATCAGTCTGCTTAAGTTTGTCAAAAGGTTGATGGCTTGCTTACTTGTTCAGTTACTAAGAATCTGCCCTGGAAGAGCAAAGTGAAAAAAAATTCTTTACTAGGTCGAAAATGGAGTTTTGAGAAATAATGTGGTCTAGTGAGCAGAAACTTAACACACCTTATGTCTAGTTGGAATTTATATTGTTTAGTAATGAGCAAGAGCAAAATTTCAATACCTTACCTGTGGCTGAAATGGATTCTCAGTCACTAGTGATGTTATTTTCAGTCAATATCACATTTCCTTCCTAACAGCAGATCTCTTCTAACACTGTCATATGAAGTAATGGGCTCAAGGAGCCTTATTTTAGCCTGGAGGTCAGACCAGAAGAGCATCCTGTTCTCTCCCTATCTTGTAATACCTTACTCATAAAAATTATGTTTAGGTTCCAGAAGCATTATCAGTGATTCTGCAGCAGTTCTTGTTTACCTGTTTTTGCATTCTCATTACAAAGGAAAGCTTTTCTTGAAAAATAAAGCTAAGAAACATTTAAGTTCCAAAAGAAATGGGTAGATAGGTTGCTAGGCTGAGCTTAGGAGACAGTTCTTAGGTCACCCACAGACTTCCTGTATGATCTTAGGTTGCTGGATTTGGACTCGGGAGACCTGGGTTCAGTTCCCAGTTCAACCACAGACTTCCAGTGTGACTTTAGGTAAGTCAATTGATCTATCTTGGTTTCCCATCTGTGCAGTGATGGCATACATGGTTATGTTACAGGGAATTATAAGTAAACAATTCATTGCAAGCAGTAAGGCCATATGCCATCTAATTTCCTAGGCAGAAAAGTCTCAGGTTTTGTCACGGTTGAAGCTGAAGTAATTTTTCCTAGAATAATTATGCACAGGAAGTCACAGAGCAATCCTCTGTATCTTCTCAGTCTGCCCTGATGTCAGGCAGAATTTGTTGCACACAAGGTTGCTGCAGGCTTTGAGTTTCATGAAGTTTCTCACAAACTTGAACAACTATCGGTTGAGAGTTTTGGTTTTTAATATGTGGTATTGGATGCTTAGGAAGAAGGCTTTGAAGTTACCAGTTGTTTTCATACAGGTTACCCTACAGCTCTTAGTAACAACTGTCAGCTGGGGTAGAACTTAAAAATAGATGGAAGGGGCTCTTTGGTGACTCTGTTAGACATCACAGATAGGGAGGGAGACGTTTGTTCCACCTCCGTGTGGCTTTCCACAGCTCTTACTACCACTGTTACGTATATATTTATGTTGTACAATAGACTGCCTTTCATCTGAGTAACGCTAATTTTTAGGAAGATCTGTCTTTTTCCCAAATAATAAGCAACAGCTTCTATCCTGCTTCCAGGCCTTGTGAAACAAAAAGCTTCCCCGTATGCCATTGTGAACACTATGTATAGCGCAGGAGCTGGTTTTTAATTTGGCTGAGAAACAATTTTAGATGTTAAAAAATCCTAAAAAAGAACATTAGAACGTTAAATCTCTCTCTTTCTTTTTAGTATGCACAATAAAACTTACTAGGATTGTGTCTTCTGTTGAACAGAGGTCGAGTCGTGCAGCAAGAAGTAGAATATTGGATCTTAATTGGAGAGCCGAGCAGAAAACATCCAACAATACACTGTAAAAGGTACGTTACTTGGTGAGGATGTAAGCCAGTATGTTTTCTTTCAAAATAATTTGTTTTTCTCTACCGAGGGAGACCAAGTGACTTTTTAGTTGTTTTGAATTAATACGCTGTAGTTCTCACAGAAACAGGTGCTTTAGTGGGAAACTTCATGGCGTGACCTCAGGGCTGGCTCTGCAGTTTTATGTCACATGTGGGCTGCTGAAGGCCAAAGCCTGTTTCTCTTGTTTTCGTGTGACACAGCTCCCATGAGGCAGGAAGAAGAGATGTCGCAGCTGCCTGCGATGGTGCCGGTTGCAACTTAGAGGCTGTACGAACCTTGGGAGAATTTATGCTGCAGTTGAGGGCGTATATGGGCTGTGTCTGGGGTGTGCACAGGCAGGATATTTTGCTGCTACCAAAATCTCCCAGCTGAGGTGCAGGTACAGCCTGTACTCTGTTGCATTGTCAGTGCATTAAAGCAATACATTTATGGTGAGGTCTGTCTCATACAAAGTTGGAGTCTAGACAGACAGACTAGGAGAGCTAGAGGGCGCTATGTAGAAATTTTACTGATTAGTTATATTTGTCATGGTAAATTAATAGTTTTCTCAGCTTTACTTGACATGGTAGTTTATAATGCCTAATATTAATTTCTGAAATGAGGGAACAGTGCAAAAGAATAGTATGAAGAAGCCGATTCTGTGGCCAAAACCTAAGTTTTAACAAACAGCTTCTCTTGTCACACCCTGAGTTAATTATGGAGTGATTTTTTTCTTGATACATTAGGAAAAGAACTGTGGGGAAAAAAAAAATCAAAACTTTCTTATTCTTTGTTTCCTCTTCTTTATTTTGAAAAAATGTTTGAAAGTGCTTATCTGACATTTTCATAGCCAGTCTGCTCTATCCCGGTACTTAAAGCCCAGATACCGCTTTGTTTTGTCAGTGATGTGACTATGTCAGGAGCTGTAATTAGCTGGATATTTTGGACTAACGATATTAAGTGCGACAAAATAAAAATGACATTATACATGTGGTTGCTGTGCTGAGAAATGGCGTACTCTACATCCCACTGAAACAATTTTTTCTTGTGGTATGTGAACTACAAATGGCACAGGAAAAGGTTTCTGAATATAGAACACAAACCTTCGTAGTACTGTTTGTGGTTGTGAGGATATTCTTCCTCTGGCTGCACTCCCAGGGAGAGCTAGGAGAAAGTTCTGCACTTAAGGTAAGAGGGCAGAGATTGGGGTAGGAGCGGATTTCCTGAACTTGGAGGGTGGTGTTAGACAGAAGCAGGTAATTGGACATTGACAGAAATTAAAAGGCGATGTGTAGGCTTAAAGAGGTTGGGATATTTGTTTCAGTTGGGCTGGAAGCAGCTGTGAAACTCTAGAGCTGAGTGAGTGGGGAATAAATGAATTGATAGTTTTATTATAGATGGGAATGTGAATTAAATGGGAGAAGTGAGTTACCAGACAGCTCTCAGCATGAAAACAGATTTAGTGGATGAGAACAAGATAGACGTTCAAACAAACCAATGTAAAAGGGTAAGAGAGGATTAAATAAAGGACAACCAAATATTCCTCTGTGCCTGAACTGCGCCTTGCTTCTTCCTTCACAAACTGGTGAAATGGTAAGGGTAAGCAACACAACTAATGACTCATGGTGCTCTTACTTATTTTGGAAGGTGTTTCCTGAAGCAGGAATAATCACGAAATGCTTTGTTTAAAAGTTATGCTTTTATATCTATCCCGATTCCCTAATACCGAGGCTTTTTTATCTTCACACGTTTGTTTATCTTTAAATCACAGGTTAGACCATTTAAAGCTGCAGGTCTGTGTTTGCATGCATATGTACGTGAGTCTTAGTGGTGCTGAAGTTTAATAAATACCAGTTGAGTAGTAATAATCTTATTCTGTAGGTGGGCAGATATTGTCACTGACCTAAACACCCAAAATCCAGAATATCTAGATATTCGACACCTAGAGAGAGGATTGCAGCACCGCAAAACAAAGAAGGTAAGGTGAACTCTCTGAGATGGGAGGGGATTCATGGTAGGTTTTTGGCAAACATATTCATACTTCAGCACTGTCAGGTAACTTTGGTAAAAGAAATTTGTTACGAAGTGTTGCTGAAGACAAAAATCGGGTACTTAGGCATCGGAGGCATTTGTAGTTACTGGCAGGCCAAGAGACAGTACAGCAGTAGCCTGGCATATGCTGGCATGAGCCAGGATATCTGCGGATGGAATATATTTGGTCATAATATTTAACCTTGTTGGCTTGGAATGTAGCTGCAGCAAGCATAGCGGTACTCCTCGGGCAGATTACAGACAGATCCTTTTGGTGCATGACCTAGCTACATGTGAGTACCATCGAGTAGGACCAAACATGAAAGAACATATGTATGTCTGTTGTGTGGACTTAGTGTCAATACATACAGCTTTTCTCCCTGTAGGCAGGGCTCTGTCTCGTGCGTGGGGGGGTGTATTTTTGATTTGCATGTTGAAAGTCTGTGAGAAACAATAGGCTGAAGAGATGATTTCCAGTGTGGAGACCTTCCTGACCACGTCAGCAAGGTGAGAAGGGACCAGAAGAGATAATTTGTGTGGAAGTGGCTGAAGAGCAATAAGACCAACAGAAGATAAGTTATACAAGCTCATGGAAGATAAAAAGGATAACTTAAAAAGATCATAGAATCATAGAATGAATCACAGAATGGTTTGGGTTGGAAGGGACCTTAAAAGACCATCCAGTTCCAAGCCCCCTGCCATGGGCAGGGACACCTTCCACTAGACCAGGTTGCTCAAAGCCTCATCCAGCCTGGCCTTGAACACTTCCAGGGATGGGGCATCCACAGCTTCTCTGGGCAACCTGTTCCAGTGCCTCACCACCCTCTCCGTGAAGAACTTCTTCCTGATATCCAATCTAAACCTCCCCACTTTCAATTTAAGCCCATTACCCCTTGTCCTGTAACTACAGGCCCTTGTAGATGAGAAGAAAGGCAGAAATTGAATCTGGGAAACAATCAAAATTGATTGAGCAGAGTTGTTTGCTCGTGGATGTGGTTTTGTGGGTTTTTGTTTGTTTGTGTGTTGTTGCATTTTTTTGTTGTTCTGTTTTTTAAAGTTTTCTGTTACCTGCCAAGACGTTAATTTCAAGTATCTACGTGGGTTACAAACGCGCCCGTGTGCGTTTAACAAATAACCTTTTTACTTTGATTAGGTTGGAGGAAATCTTCATTGCATCATTGCCTTTCAGAGACTTAACTGGCACAGATTTGGTCCGTGGAATTTTCCATTTGGAAACGTTAGACAGGATAAACAATCCCAGACACAAGGACAAGGAATTTCCAAATCTGAGAGTGAAGACAATATCTCTAAGAAGCACCATGGACGACTGGGTCGATCTTTCAGTGCTGGCTTTCATCAAGAATCCACCTGGAAGAAATCTAATCTTCGTGAGAGGAGGAACAGCGGGTATCAGAGTTACAATGATTACGATGGGAATGATTAAAATTAACTTTAGATAATAAAGTCGATACAATAAAGTTAGTTTTAATCAAGCCATATTAGGGGTCTGTTAGTCCTAGAATACATATGAGTAGAAATTATTGGAATAAGGTACAGCTTCATAATTATGGAATAAAGCTGATGAAAGAGTTGTGGTGGGTGCAATCTGATGTGTAAGCTGATGGATAAGCACAGATTATTGTACTTCTGCAATCAAAAGTAAATATGACAGCAAAATCAATCACTTCTTTTGAAATCATTGTACTGTGTCCTGATCCATGAAAACAAAAGAGCAGACTGAAATTAGTCAATGTAGTAAACAGATTTCATTGAAAATACTTAATATTCGAAAGCATGAAAGTTTATTCTGTGACCTTCTAGAAAGGGTTGTTCCGCACATGGTGTAAGGATAAAAGTAAACATTGCCTTTCTTTTTAACACTCCATTTTATTAAGGCTGCCCCTATCCAGCGAAAATAAAACCATCGCATAGGTTAGAAAACCCTGTGGGATTTACAGAGTGAATGTACGTTCTCCATCTAGTTCCCAGTGGACTTCTGTCAGTCATGTTCTGTCAAGTAGGCCTCCGTTACTTTTCCCTCAGCTGGATGCCCGTTTCAGACTGAATTGCCTGTGGCAGAGAAAGTTTGAGGACGGACCTTCTTTCTTGCTTTTGCTTTGTGGGTGCAGCGGCTGAATTCTTATCCTGGAGCCTCTGGAGAGCACGGACTCGCTGAACACCAGCTTGTGCAATTCGGTATGAAGAAGCTGCGTTTGCCATCAGCCGAATGAGCCAGCCGAACGCTGCGTTCTGCGGGCCGCTCTCTTCCTTCTTACGAACCTCTCGTTTTTCTGCTGCTCTTCTAATTTTGTGTGACAGGGATGCAAGTGCCGAAAACTGCTGGCAGCCCTAACGATACGATATACCTCTCGGCCAGCAAACAGTTTGAGCTTTTTCAGGTGTCCATGTGCAGTCTCTTGTATTTCTTTTTCCCCCTGGTTTGAAACGTATCCGGTTGTTTGCTCAGACACACATCTCGGCAGTTGTACCTTCTGCATACAGACGTTCGTACCTGCTCGAGGATTCGGGTTTTTTTTTTGACATAAACAGATTTTGTCATGGAATGCAGGGGTTTTGTAGGTTGCTGCTTTTGTTAACCAAAAAAAAAAAAAAAGACTTTTAGACTTTTGTTCATTCAATAAAATTTGTTTTCTATTTCGTTGTTTGCTTTTTTGTCTGCGGAATGGCGACCCCGCGTTTAGTGAGGTCTTTCGGGGCGGCAGATAAAGCGAGGATCAGAACTGCAACGCCTGCTTAGCGAAGTCATCCTGCAGGTGGGATCTCCCTGCTCGTAAGCTCGTGCAGCCTCCGTGGCTTAACCTCTGACATTTAACTTCCCAAATGCTGCAGACTGGTGCCTGAATAAAACCTGCAGGTTTTGAAGGTATTTTCCGGATGAACTATTTTCAGACTTTATTTTTGCAAGCTGGGATTGAGCTGGGGATTCGGATCGCTTTAGAATACTGGAGCTCTGCTCTTTGGGGTACTTCAAGTATAATGAGTTAAATAAATGTCTCAAGTTTTTCCAGTCACTTTGTTTTCGTCTTGGAGACTGGCACACTCCATCCCTCTCCCTTCTAGTGGAGGGTGTCCCTGCCCATGGCAGGGGGGTTGGAACTAGGTGGTCTTTAAGGTCCCTTCCAACCCAACCCATTCCATGATCATAAAGCGGGTGGCATCTTTAATTCTTCCCGCATTAGAGAGAGAAAGAAGATGCCCGTTCCCGCGGACCCTGCTGCCGGGACCTATCGCAACAGGCTGCCTGACGCTTTCCCTGGAGGTTCCCGGGTGGCAGGTGCGGGGCGCAGCGGGAGGGGGGCGTTAGGGATGTGGGGAGGGCGCGGGCTGTGGGGACGGTCACGCACAGGCGCCTGTGCTGCCCTTCGGCATCTTTGCGGCTCGTTGTCTGAGAAGTCGGGGAGATGCCGGCGCCGCTCGGTG